CCCCAAAACCCCAAAACCCCAAAACCCCAGTTTAACCAAAACCCAAATAATTAAAATTTCCCAAATTCTAAATATGGAGCAATGGGAAAATTTCCCCCGAATGTAGTCAAAATTCCAAATGTAATATGAGCTTAACTTCCACCAATTATTTCAACTTCTCCTAGTTGGTTTTCTTCAAAAATTTGTTCAGCTTCATCTTGGTTTACTTCGCAGGAATTGATAGATACCTTTGTGAGGCTTAATCTTAAGTCTGGAGAGCTTGATAGTCCTTGTATCATGTTCTTGAACTGGTCAAGGTTGCTTTCCCAATCACTTAAATCAGATTCCCCTGATCTTAATAAATCCAGTTTCTGGATTTGGCAATTGATAAGAGCCTTTGAGAGATCAGGGACATTTGGGATAGATAATTTTCAATATTGTAATCCAAAAACCCTCACATGCTTGTAAGCTGCCAATAATCTCTTTAGTTGAGGGAGGCCAATGCGAAAAAAAGCAAAGAAAACTCTTTGGATAACTTTTGTGCTTATACTGACCAATGGCTTGAAGTAATTTGATCTATTCAGATCAATTTGAAGGCAGGAACCAAAATAGAGCTGATTTGTTTTATCCGGGAATGAGAATTCTAAAAACTCAACAAAACTCATATTTTTAGATTCAACACCATCGAAAGTAAGCTGATTTATATCAAAGAACTTGAGGTTTTTGAAACTTCGTGAAAGCTTCAGATCATCAGGATTTGTAAAATGAATGTAAAGCCCATTCCTTTTTGATACTTCTTTAGAGTTTGAATCCAATGACTTAAATTCTATTTGTCTTAAATAATGTTTATAGAGAATGTTCTCACATATGCTTTTATCTTGCTCCTTGGTTTCGGCCAAGATATACTTCTCTACACTGCATAATTAGAAATCAAAAAGAGTTAGACCCATGTCAGAATTCTCCAGAAAGTTGTAAATTCGTTGACGAAAGAGGTTTAATATTAATACAGATAAGTACGGAATCTGAAGTCGTTAAGAAAAAGCAATCTGTTGGGATAACAAACAAATTTTGGAAAGTAAAGCTCTCATATTCTCTATAATTTAGGTTGGAAATTCTCAGTTTAGAAATCTTCAATGTAATTTGTTTAAAAGTTGATGAATTTTCCCCGACATTAAAAATTTGGAATTTGTTACAAAATAAAGGATAGGCATTCAGAGCATCTTAGAGCTAAGCTCTCGATTACCTGATAGCCTGGCTGTTCTTTTCTTTTATAGGTTTTCTCATAATTTCCATTTTATTATTATAAAAATTTAAATTTTATTTTTCAATATATTTGAAGAGTACTGGGGTTTTGGGGTTTTGGGGTTTTGGGGG